TGGGTGCTGTGGGTGGGAAGCTGCCACTCAGGGTCGTGGGGAGGTGGGCTCTGTCTGTGCTCGGTGGGCGTGCGGCTGGTGAAGTGGTGCCCTGTGGATGCTGGGCCAGGGAGCAGGCGAGGAACAAGGCTGAGGCTCTGGTGTGAGGCACCACAGGAGGTGCATTAGCAGCCACGCAGCAGCATAGCTGTTTGTGTGCACCAAGAGTCACAAATGTACTCACACCCCACACGTACCTGCCCGTGCACGAGTGCGTGCACACGACAGGCAAGCGTGCACCCTGACTTGCTCACAAACGCACGGCCCATGTGCTCTTACACGCGTGATGGTGCACAAACATGCTCACAAACTCATGCACTCATTCTCGCACGTCCCACACCTGTGGGCACGTTTGTGGATGCAGCTCTGGGGACACAGTCCTAAATACGCATATTTGGATGGATGTGGACATGCCGTCCTGCGTGTGTCGTCAAGCCACCCAGGCCCATGACTTGCTCACACACATGTGTCCCCGGCCCCTTGCATGCTGCCCCGCTGGTTGTCCCCACGCTATAAAACACCCGGGGTGGTTTTGCTCTTGGTTGCATCATCAGAAATCACTTCCAAGCTGCTCCCTGCCTCCTCTGAGCAAACTCTGAGCTTCTTTTTCCCTGCTTCTAGGTCGGGTGGCACCAACGTGTCCCAAGCGGGTACCGGATGCTTTTCCCACGGTGTTTTTTGGGGTGGCGGGAACGGCTGAGCGTGCCCAGCGTGCCAGAAGTGACAACCGTTGCTCCTATCTGGGCAGGCACTGGGCGGGAGGGCTGCCTGCCCTGTCCCTACCCTCCAGCTGGCTCTGTCGCCGCTCCGAGCTGTCTATCTTGCTGCGTGCAGGCATGGGGGGGGGGGAATGGGGATGGTGTCCCCCAGCCTCCCCCCTCCTCCAGACAGCACACGCTGCGTGTGAGCCCCGGCGTGTTTTGTCCCTTCCGACGGCGACACGGTCCCAAGGGTGGCGGCGCTGGGGCAACATCCCTCACCCCCACCCTGCGCGCTGGGACCTGCTCTCCGGCAGCAGCTCGCAGTGGGTGCCCTCGCAGTGCCGCGGTCTGGCACCCACGCGGGTGACGCGGGGGGGGTCCCGCCCTCGCCCGCGCCACCGCTGCCCCAGGCAGCCGCCTCTGGGCGGGCGCCTGCTTTGAACAGCGCCCGGGGATCCCCTTTCTCGCCGATAAACGGCGGATCAAAGCCGACCGCAGCACCAGCGCTTCCTGCCAGCGTGGGGGGGGCGCGGGGGGGCGCGGGGGGCGCGGGGGGGCGCGGGGGGGCGCGGGGGGGCCGGGCCCGGGGATCCGCCCGCCGCCGCCAGAGGGCGCCCTCGCTGCGGCCCCGCCCCGCCCTCGCGCCGGGCTCGGGGGGGTTAGAAACGGGATTTCTTAAGGGGGTTTAGTGTTTTCTGGGTGTTATCCGAATAAAGTATGGTAAAGGCATATCTAATATTGACGAGTTGAAACACTTAGAAATTAAGATCTTGGCTTTATGTATATTGGATTTATGGACTGAAGCTTCCTCTCTCCTCTCCTCTCCTCTCCTCTCCTCTCCTCTCCTCTCCTCTCCTCTCCTCTCCTCTCCTCTCCTCTCCTCTCCTCTCCTCTCCTCTCCTCTCCTCTCCTCTCCTCTCCTCTCCTCTCCTCTCCTCTCCTCTCCTCTCCTCTCCTCTCCTCTCCTCTCCTCTCCTCTCCTCTCCTCTCCTCTCCTCTCCTCTCCTCTCCTCTCCTCTCCTCTCCTCTCCTCTCCTCTCCTCTCCTCTCCTCTCCTCTCCTCTCCTCTCCTCTCCTCTCCTCTCCTGATGGGCTCTGTGCCTGTGGTCACAGGACCCCAGCTGGCCAGGGGAACACGGGCTACCAAGTCCCCCGGGATTTTGGCAGGGGCAAGGCGACCCTGCAAAGGATCACACTTCCCGGTGGGAGAGCCAGTGGCTGTGCCAATGCTCTGCTATTTATAGAGTTTTAATTAACAGCCCGCCCAGTCCTGGAAACAGCCTCTCTTCCTCAGTCCCAGGCAAAGGCATCTCTCAGGGGTCTTCACCTTTTGTCCTCAAAACCTATTCAGGGCTGGATGCGAGGGCAGCCTGTTCTCAGCCACTGAGGCACAACAGCACAGCTCAGGGTTGTTCAGCCCTTCCCTATCCATCCCATCCCTCCTGCGGGAGCCCTGTCTCCCTGTCCCCATCTCATGGCACCCAGTGTGGCTGTGGCAGCATCCTGACAGGGCTGGCAACCTCCAAGGCTTCAGGAAGGGGCTAAGGCTCCCCAGAAGCTCCCCCCAACTTCAATGTACCCTGAGAAATGCCTCTCTCACCCCTTGGACACACATGAAATCCCTCTGGCCTTTCATGTCCCTCCTACTCCTTTCCCCAGCAACAGAAGCCACTGCTCAGAGCAGAAGATGATGTGGTTTTTCCCATCTCCTCTGCTACCTGCATCTGTTTGCTTGTGTGGCAGCCAGAAAAGTGACTTCATACATTTGATCTTTTTTTTTCCCCCCTTTTTTTTTTTTTAATTTTATTTTATTTTTCAACCAGCCCAATGCTCTAGCCTGTTGCAGAGTCGAGGGTGAACCATCCAGGCCAAATCCTGCGCCTGTGTTATGGTAATTGCGGCTGCCACCCAGCAGATGCAGCCCACTGAAATAATAAGGCTGTTTAACAAGCACGGAGGAGGAGAGGGGAGCTTTTGTTTGGCACTTGCTGAGGTTGGAGTACACTTGTAAGGCAACAACTGGAGCTCGTTGAAAAGAAGTGGAGGTTATTAGATGCGTTTCGCTCACTGCTGATGGCCCCATTATTTTTTTCCCTTCAGATGCCAGGCAAAAACACCGGTGCTGAGAAGGAAGAGGAGAGAGATGCCACCTGAAAATGTGCTGTTTTTGCTGGTGAGCGTAGAAATAAATAGGGCTGGTGCCTGCTGGCAGGGCCCTGGCAGGTTGAACCCCACAGTTCAGGGATGCTCAGGGTGATCTCCTGTATTGGGGGGGGCTGTTCACTCTGCCCAGGGCCCACCCTTGGCCCCAGTAAGGCTGTGGAGGCTGGAGGAAGGAAAGTACCTTCCTCAGATGGTGCTGAGAGGGGCACCCTACTGAAATTAGGCTCTTCTCTACCCATTGGAGACCCAGAGGGTCATGTAGGGGTGTCCTCATGGGACATGGCCTTCCCTAGTGCTCCTCTGCTTTCCAGGAGGCCGGGTCCTGCCTGTTGAAAGACAGCAAAGCCAAGCAGGGCTCAGTGGTGCACTTAATAGCACTTGAAGCTGTCGAAACCCCAGGCTCATCACCAGCAAAGGAATTTATCAGGTTTTAGAGGGCAATGGGTTGCTGATGGGGGATGAAACCTTACCCTTGGGGATTATAATCCCATTTTGAAGTGTTGCAGCTTTGGATAGGAGGCTGACAGAGGGTAGATCTGGGTGCAAAGGGGTTTTTATCTTCCCCCAAGTAAGTGGGGACAAGAAGATGATTAGATGGGTTGGAAGTCTGCCCATCCATCCCTTTACCTACTTATCTACCCCTCTGTTTCGATGCATCTCTCTCCAGCCCTATCTTTGCTCTGAAGAAAACACCAATCCCCTTCAGAAGCCGGGAATAAAATCGATATATTCCCTCTCCAATTCAGGTAGCTCCCCATAAATCTTCCCAGCTTCAGTCTGGTCTCCCAGGACTCCCGGCTCTGTTGGGAACCTATTTAATCAGCTGAGATGATCAGCGCTGTTTGCTCCCGAAAGGCTCTTTGAACTCTTTGTCTCTTCGTTGAATGATGCTTGTGTCCCCCGAGGATTTAGCCAGACAGGCCTATTCTGCGTGACAGCTCGCAGGTTAATAACGCCAGGTGCTGGCAGCACCCACCAAAGCCGGGCCGTGAGCCCAGGGCGCTGGGAAGAGTCCCAGCCCCTCTGCCAAGCCCTTATCGCAACATCTTCCCGTGGCCCCTTGCTTGGCTCGCTGCAAAGCTCCATAAAACCACACCAAATTGCAAGCCCAGCACGAAGAGCATCCAGCCTGGTGCCAGGGGAAGAGAATTATAGCTCCTTTTGAGGAGGCTTGGCAAATGCTCAAGGGGGTGTGTGTGAAATTGTAGCTATCCCACCTCACACCCCACCCTCCCCATCCTGGGGGTGCAGGCTCAGTTTTTGGCATATTTTAGTGCATTTTAGGTTTTAAGTGGTTGGGAATCAGCCTCACATGGGTAACTTTGCTGAGGGATGGTGGTTTCTGGGAAAGGTTTCTCATGCTGGTCCAGGCCTTGGGAGCAGGGGGCTCAGCATTGATCAGAATCTGGCCTCCAGGTAGCAAATATGGAGTTGTCCAAATCAGCAGGACTCCTTCCACTGACTTGGACCAGTGTTCAACCAGGGAAACGCTGAAGTGTCACCTTCAATAGCCAGGCTCCTCTTCTAAGCTGTGCTGAAATAGTACTGGAGGTGGCTGCTACCTGCCTCTCCAACAACCTCTGAGCAACTTAACTTCGTGAGAAACTGCCAGATCCTCACGTCAGCTCCATCCAGCTCTAGCCTGAGGGGTTGGTGTTTCTCCTTCCAAAGGCTGCTGCTCTCCATAAACCACAATTTAGCATGGGCCATCATCAAGACAGGCAGAGCAACCTAATCTACGCATGCATTAGGGTGTTGGAAAACAATAATCCAAGAAGGAAACACATTATCTGGCCTTGTTACTTTACAAAGTAATTTAAATTAATTTTTCCCTAGAGTGGTTAGGGAGCACTGCAACTTGCCCTTGTCTATTCTCTCCAGCTAATGAAGCTTTACCAGCGACTACTCGTGAATTCCTATTAAGACCTCATCTTAGAGGTTACAGGGCAATGCAATTTCTGCTCCTGGGAAAGATGCCTATGAATTTATAATTGTAAGTCCATGTTTGATAGGGATTAGCATCTGAAAGGGGTAGAGTGGTGAGTAAGAGAGAAAACATTATTTCAATTAGCAGAAGAAAAGCAACTTAACGTCTGATTGTAGTTTACTCTTTTAATTTTCTCCTATTCTGGCATCTGGGATAATTATTTCCTGAAACGATCCACCCTCACCAAGCCAGCCAACTCTTTCCTTCTCCTCCTCTTGTCCATCTTGGTTGTGATTCACATGGAAATGGTTGACCAGTTGTTTTTTCTTCCTTTTCCTCCTTCTCCCAGGCAATAGCCAGACTCATCAAATTTAGGACTGGAGAGGAGGATGCTGTACTACGCCAGACTGAAATGAGATGTGATGTTCCTCTTAACACCAAGGAGGTGCAGGACACGAAGGATGGGGCGTTGCTCCACAGCCAGGCTCATGGCCAGGCTGTGGCCAGCAGCTTGGCACGGTGCCGGTGCCCGACTCTCCCAGGCAGTGCCCCGATGCCTAAAGCTTCGTTCTGTGTTCAGAAATGACTTCCAATCCCCCCCCTTTCCTCCCACCCCATAAACGCAGGTGCCATTTGCTCTGCAGGGCCTTGGCGCTTGCACTAACCTGTGCTCCAGCTATTTTCTTCTGGCTTCTTGGCCTCATATTTCCTAATGACGGTGCAATCAGTTTTCAGGTGGGAGATTCCTCGTGAGAAGGCTTGTTGTTATTTAAGGAAGATCATGAAATCCATCCTTAATGAAAGGACAGGAGAAAACCCTTCCACCAAGTTACACTGAAGCCTGAGATTATCATTTTTATGGGCTTCCAATCTTTCCTGCCTCATGTCTTATCAGTGAATGCAGCTGGAGGCTTCAAAAACCCTCCCAGCTTGCTGCTGATTTTATGGGATGAAGATTAGAGATGATCGGATAGTAAATTATTCATTCAATTCGATATCACTGGGCAGGAGGGAATATCCAGAGCAGAGTCAACTCCCTTCTCCCTTTCTGAGCATCATGTAGTGGGATCCCAGCTATCTGCCACTCCAGCAGTGCAGTGGCACTTTCCCTTGCACTCAGAGATGATTAGGGGTGCAATACACCCTCTGAACAGATGGGAAAGCTGAGGCAGAATCACAGATGCAGGCTCATCCCCCAGAAATAAGGCAGACCAAAGGCAGGTGGATTTTCTTCTTGCTTCAGGGATTTTTAGGTTGATTCCTCTTAGCCCAGGGCAAGGCAGGATGGATCAGGTAGGTGTTTTCTCAGCCTAATTTTCCTGAGGTTGATGTGAATGTGCTGTCGGATCCCTAGCAGCTACTAACCTCATGGACAGAGGAGCTGGGAGCTCAGAGGGGACAAATCCTGGCAGCTGTGTGAAAATGGGCAGCTGGATAGAGGAGAGAGCCCATTGCTGCCATTAGATGTACAGAGCAGCAGCATCAGGCCTCAGCACAGACAGTGGTCGGTGTGAATGCTGCCTAGAGAACCATGCCAAAAATCAACTGGTGTGTAAAACATCATCCAGAGAGTCCCGCAAAGCACGCATGGGTCATGGTGATGCTACTGAGCAGCTCTCAAGAGAAAATGCAGGGCACACGTAGTGCCTGGTGCTGGTGCCATGTCTGGGCCCCATTCAGGCAGCTGCTGGGTACCAGCTCCCAGCGAGTGTCCTGCCAGCAGCGGTCCTGGCTGATCCCAACAGGATCCCTGAAAAGGGGAGAATCCAAATTCTACCCAAATGAGGGTCCGGGAGGTGTCACGGCCACCCCCATGCCACCCTTCTCTCCATTCTGCTTATGCAAGACCTGCAATTAGTGTCAGCCCTGGGGGACTCATGAATGGTCTAATAAAGTGTCTAATAAAATGCTGAGAGGTTTGTTTTTTTTTTTTTTTTCCTTGGCCCTGTGTGTGTGTGCAGGAGGGGAGCAATCAGCCCAGCTGAACCCCAGGCTAGTGGGGGTGGACAGTGATGGCACAGGGCCATGCCCCATTGCCACACTATTGACACCAGGGTTTTCATCAGCACATAAATAAGAAAATATATTGCTGTTTAAAGGCATTTTTAAAGAGGGGGAGTGAAGCACAGAGCTATGATGGACAAAAAGCCGCCTTCTGCTGCTCTTTCTCCACACTGGCATGCTAGGCCAAGAAAATGTCCTTTTTATAGTGGCTGTAACTTCTGGCTCTCCTCTGGCAGCATCCATCCCAGGCTAGATTTGAAAGCCAGTGTCCATGGGAAATTAGAGAATTCTGGGGCAGGTGGGAAATATTTGATTTTAATGTAAAGTATCAAAGTAAACAAGCAATTAAATATTGTCTTTGTGGCTTTGTTTTTTCCCTTTTTTTTTTTTGAGCAGTAAATTCAACAAGTTTTTTGAAATGCAACAAATTCATCAAGTTTTTTCTCTAGGGGATGTTCAGGCTTGCTTTCATCTATTTTCTTTATTTTGATGGGTCTTGCTGAGCGAGGGAGAGGAGATGGAGGGGTGACGGAGGGAAGGAAGAAGGGACGAAGGAAGGAAGGAAGGAAGGAAGTGAAGGAGAAAGAAAAATAACCTCCATAAAAACACAGAGCCCCACAACGTTTTTTGAAGAGGAACTGGCATCTGTACTCTGAGCCGTATCACCCAGGAACACATTAGGCTCAGGAATGTGCTTTGAGCGAATGCTAATTTTGGTTAAAACCGACGTATTTCTTTGTTGGAAAAAAGATGTCAATTTTTGGAGGATATCTCTGTAAATCCTGAAATCCCAAGACCCTCTTTGTGTGACCTGTTGTACAGGCAACTGCTCACATGAGTCATCGGTAGAGAACTGAGCTGGGTTTGGGTTTGACTAAATGCTGCCAATGTGATTTGCCCCTTCTGTGCCTCAGTTTCCCTCACCTGTGAAATGGACCTGTAGGGCTTTGACTCACCATAGGTATGTGATGCTGAGGGCTTAAATGAGAAAGACAGCAAGATTTCCAATGTCCTGCAGCGGATACGTGCAGCTTCTCACCTCTGCAAGTCCCAAGCCAGGGCCAGAATGACAAAAGGATGAGCCAGATGGCAAATTATTTGCTGAAATTTCAGACTTTGTCCCTGCAACAAGCCTGTTGCCATTACAGTGACTTGCTGTTTCTCATCCCCCTAGGCCAGACCCATCAATATACAACCAAGCAGGTGCCACAGGCAGTTCTTTTGGCCCCAATAGCACATACCTTCCTAATAGCTGCTAGGGGCTAAAGGAGATGCACTGGAGCCCAGGGGAGCTTTGAGATAAGCAAATTACACATTCCCTGCCCTCATCAGCAAGCCCAGAACAGTTAAATTTCCTTAAACTTCATATAAATGTTGGAATGTGCAATAGTAAAATACTATTTGCTCCTCAGGAGGGAGCTGACAACAAGACCCCTGTCTGGAAGGCACAGCAGCTCTGCCTTCATCTCGGGGTCTGGTCCACCACATTCTGTCCCCCCAACACACCGTAGTATATGAGTGGATCCTTGAGACATCTTTATCCTTGGAAAATCCACCTAGGGTCCCTGGAGGTGGGCTGGGCAGAGTGCTGGGGCAAGAAGACAACCTGGAGTACATGCGGAGGAGGACCAGAAGGAACCTGTGAGCAACCTGCCACAGCCCCAAGCGTGACTGGGGGGTGGATTGCAATAGCAGAGAGATGTCTCTGACCATGAATTTTCCAAGGGCAGCAGCAGGACTGGCTTCTCTAGTACTTCTGATCTGCTGATAAAGCCTTCTGCTCTAAATAGCTAGGTTTTTTTGCTGGACTTTTGCTAAGAGACAAGCAACAGGCAGGCAGAAAAGATCGCAAGCTGTGTGCTTTCCTGGATAGATAACGTGGAAACAAGTCATGGGGAACCCAAAGTTCACTGTCATTTTTATTTCTTCAAAGGCCATTCCTTTTTCCCTGTAGCAGGATTAGATTGCTTATATAGGGCCTTATTATGGGCAGTTCCCTGTCTTGCCACTTCCTTGCCGGGTTCAGCAGGAGAGTCCCTGCCCCACGGAGTTCATAAGCAAAAACTAGCAGGGTTGGGAATGGGATTCTCCCACTTTGCGGGTGGGAATTTGGCCATGGAAAGGAATTCGGGAGAGAGCCAGGAACTGACCTGCAGTCTTGTGTGGCTCAAGTCAGGTCCAGCTAATTTTCAGGATAAATTGCATTATTCTAGATTCAGGGGAAAGACGAGGGATGAAGGATGGCAATCCTGCATCAGTGGGTATGTATTCCTGAGGGTCCTGCACATTCCCGAGTGTGGGTCCCTTGTGGGTGCCTGCGTGGGGACCCGGCACCCAGGTGGGATCCCTGATGGGGGGAACACCAGACCCAGAGGTCCTGGAGCTCAGATGCTACTGAGGGGGATTTCTCAGTGGCCCTGGGTGCTGGGCTTACGAGATGCTATGACACACCACAAGAAGAGTGACAACAAAACCACTGGCTCACAGTTTTAAAATTTCCTTCATGAATAACTGAAGTTGCTCAGCTGTGAAGCCAAAGAGCTTTTATTCTTCCTGCGGGATGGGTCTGTCATCAGTCCAAACCTGTCATGGGCTGGGAAGCTGCTTAACTCGGGCCCTGCAACCTTCCCTGTCCCGCAGCATCTGTGTGGCTGGTGTGAAGGGCCAGCCTTGCTATCTGCTTCAGGTCTTTTGGTGTTTCTACGTCTTCTGGTGTTGAAGAAATTTTGGAAACAGCCCTGAAGACTCAATAAAATAAATGCTGTGTTTGCTCTATTTAGCAGTCTCTCCATTAAACAAGGCGTGGGAGGTGGGAGTCAGTACTCAGCATTGAGTCTGGTTTATTAAATGGATGTTTTTAAGACACAAATGTGTTTTGCTGGGTTGTTAATGACACTTGCTGAACAGAAAAGAGCAAGGAAGAGAGTGGGAGCCATGCCAGGCAGCTCCCTGCATCCCCAGGACCTGGGGTCCCACGGGGTGGGAAGGGATGTCAGAGCTGGGGCATTGCTGGACCCCTTGGCTCTCCTGCTGTGGGGAGGGGGATTTGGGGGACACCCAGGTCCTGTTTAACCATGTTCCCCAAACACCACAGCCGTGCCAGAGAAGAGGTTTACCCATCTGGGCGTCGTTTCTTCCTCCTGGGCTGATGCAAATGTTTTGTGGCTGAGTCCCCTTCCACGCCCTAAGGGGACTGTCGGGTTCAAGTCACCGTGCCCCAAATTCCCCGCCGGCCTCAAGAGAAAGAAGCACCTCCTTCCAACCCTTCCCGCAGCAGGATTTGAATAACCAGGTGTGAGCATCAGCCTCCCTCGTTAATGCGTTTGATAATTGACCAAGTGCTCATTCCTGTGGGAGGGCGGCGTGCCCAAGCGCAGCGCCCTGCGAGGAGGGGCCGCGATCGGCTGCTCCTTCGTGCCCCGAGAGCCCACGGCCCTGCTTGTCGCCATGCGTGCCCGCTGCCTCCTCCTCCTCCTCCTCCTCGGGCTGCTCCTGGCTCTGGAGCCTGCCTGCTGCCAGGAAGGTGAGTGCAGGCAGCTGCCTGACCTCCCGGGGAAACTGAGGCAGGGGGAAGGCAGGAAGGCTGGCGGGAGCTGCTCGGTGGGGTGGCTTTGGGGACAAGGGACAACTGTGAAAGAGCCTCTTGGGAAGAGAAAAAACATCCCAGCTCTGGCTTCACGTCAGCAGGCAGTGGGGACGGGTGGGTGTCCGGTGGGTTGGGAGGTCTTGGCGGAGCCGGGGCATGGAGACTTTTCTACCTGTTTTGCTGAAGGCTGAAACTGCCGTCCGGGGCTTATCTTACCTGCTTACACGGAGATAAAGCAGCTCAGATTTACCTCTGGCAGGACTGTGCACCAAGATGAGTAATCTGTTTTCTTAAGGTTTTTTTTTTTTTTTCTTTCTTTTTTTCTTTCTTCTTGCTCTCGTCCCTGGGCAAGTGTTGTGCTGGGTTGCTTCCCGAGCTTGCAGGTTTTCCTGTTAATCTGTAATTTTGATCATTGCCGAGGTGAGGGAGCAAATATTTTCCTCTGCAAATTGTCCTCCTGTCCCCTTCCCAAAGACTTAAATGAGAAAGTTCCTATGCCTAGGACTTTATGTTTATGAAATTTGTGGAAGGACTTGTCTAACGCTAGAAATAATGAGTAATTAAAACTCATCTGATACTGCCAAAGACCTGGAAAATTCCCTCCCCCTTTCTCCTCCTGATGCCCCAGCCCTGACCTCTCTTCCTGTATTTGTTTACCAACTTGTTGAGGATTTAATAGTGTGGGGTCTCCACTGTCAGCAGGATTGAAAGTTCTGCTCTTGCCTGGAAAGAGGTAAAAAACCCCCAACTTTAATGAGGATTCAGAGCCTGGCACAGATTCCTCAGAGAGGGGAAAAGACGGGGGCCAGCTGATGCTTTCCAAGAACTCGGGGAAGATGTATCAAAAAGCAGATCTGTGTCTTCAAACCAGCCGTTGTGTATGGAAATGGAGTTACAACACATTGTCATTGGCACTTCTCTTGGTCTTATTTGTAGCTGCAGATGTGTGTATACACGTCTGCCAGGGGTGCAGATCCCACATTGTTTAGTTAGCTTAAAAGATCTCATTCAGGAGGGAAAACCTCATCATTGGGGTGGGGTGAAACAGAGAGGTGGCAGAGCCAGAGGGACAGGCTGTCCCAGGACAGACATCCCTGGGAAAGCATTTTTCCAGGAACACAGTCCTGTTTCCACTGGTGAGACTCATCCTTACGGGCCATCCCTCCTGGCAGGGCAGCAAGGTGTGCTCTGGTGGGGCTCCAGCCAGGCACTGCCCCCCAGGGCTGCCATCTGCATACTCACTCCCCAGAAGATGCTATCAAGGCCTTGCCTCCTCCTGGTTCCCATTCCTTCTTTCTTATGCCCACGCGAGTTCTCCACACCCCACTGGGGTATTTCAGTCTGAGCCTGATGTGGAGGCTTTTGCCATTCCCCTGCCATCTTCATCTCCCCTTGCAGCCAGGCTCTACATGGTCTCTCAAAGCCAGAACTGCTCGGGGTTTTTTTTTTTTTTGTTTTTCCTTTTGGCCTTGGGTGCTCTGAAATTTGGTTTAAACAGCCATCTGAGCAAGGTTTCCGCACAGCTGCTTGGAGGTTCCCTACTACTTATCTTCTCGTCTCCTTTGCTTGAAGATCGTGAGGTGCAAACTTGGCAATTTCAGTCATTGCCGACTTCATTCCCCAGTTGACCTTGAACTCTTTTAACCCTAGCAGAAACCTCACAGAGGGCTGGATCTGATCCCCTCCTAGGCTTAGGCTGGAAATCCTGGCCCTGGCAGGAAAAATAAACCACAACTAATAAATAAATGTGGCTGAGATAACAGCCAAGAGCAGAGTGAAGGAGGAAGCAAAGCGGGACAAAGCTCATCCTGGAGGCAAAAGGTCTGTTTGGAGCTGCACCCACAGGGAGGTTGGCAGCAGGAGCATCTCCTGCCCATCAGGTCAGGCAGGAGGGGACAAAGCTCTGCTCTTCCTCACTGCCACCACCCCCTCAGTGCCCCCACGATGGGTTGTCAGCCAAAACAGGCTGATAGAAGAGGGAATTTCCGTCTGAATTCCTCCCGCTTGAGTTTTGGCCCCGGGACCTTATAGTAAACACAGCAAGTATCCCAGTGGGGGGGATGAAGGCCGTTGTTCAGGGCTGCTCTCCCAGAGGTGCCACCACTTTCTGGCCTGGCACAGGCAGTAAATCAGTCAGCCAGGCTGATTTCACTTCCAATAGGAAAAGAAAAGCTTTGGGATTGTTTTTTTTTTTTTTTTTATGTGTTGTTTTTTCTTTTGTTGTTTTGCTTTGTTTTAATTAACAAAAGCCTCTTGCAGTAAGGCCTCAAGGAGCTGGAGGTCTTAACAAAGGACAGTCCCCCTCCCCAAAACCAGAGAAGGGAGATGAGAGCTGTCAGCAGCGGAGCCGGCGTGGGGCTGGCTGTGAATGAGGAGTTTGCACACGTGGAGCACACAGCCCACTTTCATTGCCACTAGTAAAGATTATCTGCTGTTTATAGTGGAAATTTCTCTCCTGTGAGACAGATGAAGTGTCCAGCTAGTGTAAAGCTCCTGAGTGAGACCAAAATACTGGGGCAGCTTGGCCTCGCAGGTGCCAGTGGCATGGGCTGGGTCCAAGTAGTCCGAAGCTGATGCTGGGGCTGGCAGAGAGCATCCTGCCCCATCTGCCTGCACAGAGGGACCTCATCTATGTGCAAGGGTTGGTGTTTCACTCAGCAGAAAGTGGAAAAGCTGGGCCTGAATAAATGGTAATTGAATCCCAAAGGGATGTGTCTGCATGGACAAGGTCTCCTTTCAGTGCTGATGTGACAACACTTAAGGATGGGTTTGACTATGTCTGAGTGTTCTGTTGCCCAAACGCTAGCAGGAAGAGAGGAGCAGCCATCCCAAGCAAGGACTGGGACAAGGTTTCCTCTTCTCATCACCCTGCCCTTGAGCTCCTCTCACATCCAGTAATACATCTAGCAGCCTTCCCACCAGTGGCTGGATCACTGCTTAGGTCTGGCTAGAGAAAAATGAACCTGTGAGTCCATCTGACCCCAGGGGAGCCAGGGATGCTGTGGCCGGCTCCCGGCCCCTTGCCAGTGCTTCCTGGCCTTTATGCTGGAGGCTGTTGCTCTGAACACTTCAATCTTCAGTTTCCCATCATAAATCAGCTTGCTGCTCTGGAAGCTTGTTGAATGGTAGATTTTACCGAAATCCACATCAGCAACCGTTTGCTGTGAGAGCGGCAACTGAATTTTATGCTGTCCCTGTTGTGGGATCCTTATTTTACCAGGTAGTATTTGGAAAATAACCTGGGAACAATATCTGTGGCATCCGGGAATGGAGAATAAACAGTTTGCTGAAACCACTCTTCCTTCTTTCCCCTGTCACTTTGGGCAAACATCCTCCTTCCCTCCATGTTACCCAGTCCTTTGTTCCCCCATTGGAGTCACCTGTGCCCCACTGTGTACATATATGTATGTATATATGGGGCTTCACAGCTGCAAGGCACTATACTCCACATGCAAACATCAGCAAAACTGCTGTTATTTGCACTTTTTTCATTGCTATCACCCAGGTAAACCTGCCTGGATTAAGAGCAGCACTCTCTGCTCAGACTTGAAGGATCAAGCTCTTGGCTGAATGTTGGTGAAGCTGGACAGGAGAAGCTCAGCCAAGCAGATAAAGACTGAGGATGTATTTCTAACATGTGCCCTCTTTTTTGCTGCAGCCCGGGGCAGTCTCCAGCCGTGGTCGCAGGGTGTCATTGCAGTGGTTGTGTTTCTAGTCCTGGTGGCCATCGCTTTCGTGGTCAATAGGTTCTGGTGTAAGGAGAAAGTGTAAGTGTGGGAACCCTGAGGGTTGCTTTGGGTTGGGCTTAGTTGCCTCTGTACAGGTCGCTTCCAGCCGCCTCCATCCCCATGCCAGGGCTGGGAACACCATGATCGCTGTGCTGGCAGCTGGGCAGGGAGAGAAAAGACTCCCTGGCCTGGTCTCTCCTCCCTGTTACCAGACGCGAGCGTGCACCATCCGTCCCCGCTGCTCCCCACGCAGGGGCACCCCCAAGCAGAGCACTGGGATGCTGCCACAAGAAAGTGCTGTGCTGGGGATGGGAGAGCCGCAGCATCGTGGCTGGTTTACGTGGATGCATGTCTCAAGGGGCTGACCTGAGCTCAGTTTCCTAGAGATTTGGGGGTGCAATTCCTAGGGGCATTATATCCATGGGAAAACAAGCTTAAAACAGCTTAATTTGCAAAGCAAATGGAGCCAAGTCGGCTGAAGGCAATGAGAAGAGCTGGGAGAAGAGGGAGGTAGCTGAGCCATGGCAGCACTGTCTGCCTGGAGCCCATGGCTCAGGAGAACAAGGTGGCCTTAACCATCAGAAAAAGGCTCTGTGGGACCAGTTACCTCTTCCCCACTGCCAGCTGAGCAAAGCCACCGGTTGTTGGTCCTGCTCAGCAGACCCAGGCTAACTGGCTAAGTTGTAGTAATATAATCTTGAACCTGAGCCCAAAGTCAACTGGGAATGAAGAGACAAAGTGCCCTATAGCTTGGTTCCCAGTTCCTCTGCACTGGCACTGGCACTTTGTACTCAAAGTTGCTGGAGTCCTTTTGTATCTGCACATCCCTGCAGCCTCTCCAGGCTGAGGACATGGGGACTTGGGGTGTACCCTGATGCTCAGCAGGTCAGCTTCTGATCCAGTTGTATTTAAAGAGGGCCCTTTAGGATGCATTCGGGGCCAATGGATAGCACAATGTGTAATATATATGTATTTATATGGTCTGATTTGCAACTGCAGTCTTTGTTTCCCAAAGAAGAACCTTTGTCCTCAAACTGGAGGAGCCCCCAGCCCATGGACTGGGAGGCAGGGATGGTGTTTCCCACTGCTGCCCGTGCCCGGCTGCCTCTTCCCAGCCTGGAGGCAGAGGATGCTGAGGAGGGCTTGAGGGGGAATGGCGGCTTGTTTAATTAATCTGGCCCCTCTTCAGACGAGCGGGCAGCGAGGCTCGGCAGCCTGGCACGCTGCCAGCTCCGCGCTGTCACTGTGACAGCAGCTATCAGCTCATGCCACTGCCTGTTTATCCCAGTCTGTTCCTTGGAAAACCTCTGAAATTGCCTTTGGGCGAGTGCTGGAGGAGGCAGGGGTGCACACGCGGCGTGGACCTACACCCACCCTCCGCAGCTAAACCACCCCCAGCAATGTTTGGGCCATGGGCCCACTCCAGAGCCAAGCCTTTAGGCTCCTGCTGGGGTCTAACACCCAGTCCCTGCCCCGTGACTCCTTCTGTGAGCAATCCAGACTCACATCTGAGAGAAAGCAGCTCAGCTTTGCACGCGTGGACGTGCACCCGTGCACCCCTCCTGCACCAGGGTTGCGGCACCCACAGAGCCTCGGTGTTTGTCTCGGTGTCACTTGGGACACGTAGGGGACTATTTTGCAACCGATTACACAGAAGAAGACTGGAAAAACCAGTTAGTGGGAGAAAACAATCCCACGTACTGACAAATGAGTCTTGCTGATTGCCAGCCCAGCACTGGGAGTCCCAGCTCCAGAGACAGGGATTGTTACTCTGCAAAACAGCTGCGAGGGCGTCTCTCCTTGCCCATGTCCTGCTGGGAAGGGGGCTGAGCTGGGTGTCGAAGGCCAGGATCACACATCCAGGTCCTTTACTGTCTCTGTAGTGTCAGAGCAGTCCCTTCTTCTCTGCCATCACCACTGCGAGCTGCTCCCCAGCATGGCATCTCTGTTGTTCTGTCTCAGCTCCTCTTTTCTCCCCACTCCAGGGAAAATGTCGAGACAGTGGTGAGTGTTGAGAACAAGCAAGACGCTGTCATGTCCAACGGCCATGAAGGGAGATACCTAACCTCTGCAGCTGACTTCAGGTGAAGGACTTGCTCAGACCTCCTGCCCATGGTTCCTGGGCTCTGTTCCATCCCCTTGGGGACAGCTCAGACATGCAGAGCTGCGGTCTCTCCCACTCTGGTCTCACATGTCCCATGCACCTGGTTTTGGGGATTTTAACCGCTTCAGGGGCTAAGAAGAAGGCAATGAGGGAGTATCCCCTTGTCCCTAGTCTCTCCCTGTCCCTTCAGCTGAGCACCATGGTCCATCCACCACCTTGCAACCTGCTACACAACATTTTTCTTATGCTACATCACACCTTTCAAACAGAGGAAACCACCAAAAGTGGCTGTAGATCACCACACAGATGTTGACTCTCAAAACAGCCCTTGATAGAAACTAGAGCAATTCCCACCCTGTGCTTGGCTCTCGTCTTGGCAGGGGGACCCCTCACCATCTCACCCCTCGGTTCACGGCCAGCACCAGAGAGGTCAGGGTGGTGGCTTTGGGGAGACTGGTCTTGCTGGAGGTGAGCTCACGGCTGTGCTTCTCCCTCCCAACTCAGGTCCAGAGAGAGCCACCATGCCTACGAGAACACCCTGGAACCCGAAGAGAGGGTGATCACCACTGCCATGTAGCGGGTGCCCCAGCCAGCTGCCCTCCTTCTTCCTCTCACTTTGCTTCCCGCTGTCACCATGTGCATTTTCACAGGGACGTTCTGCACTGGCATCCCCCATGCACGATGGCTCCTGACCTCTCCATGGCACCGTCATGTCCTGATCTTTTCTCTTCCTACTTGCCGGATGTGCTCTTCTGCCTCGGGGGCAGGTGCCCACACATGTGTACATCCCCAGGAGAGGTCCAGAGGTGCCACCTCTCCTGTCCAACAGTCACCCCATCTGGCTGGCGAGGCTGATGTCCCCAGTTCCAGGGGGATGTTGATCTGCTCCAGACATGGAGGGGTCCCCGCTGGGTGCCTAGGACCTCCTCCCACCCCCAGCCACCCTCTGAGGAGCTGTTGATAGAAAACTCGTTCTCTTCTCCATATTTCACCCTCCTTTTTACAACTTACACCATGAATTTTAATGTCAGAACAAACCTTCTCCCCTGTATATAACTTCCCTGTGAGCAATAAAGAGAATTGTTGCCCATATGACAGCAAAGATGGTTGTTTTTCTAATCACCCAAAGGACTTTCTGGCATCTGGAAGTACTCCCAGCCTTCAGGCAGTTTGGGAAGGGAAGGACACTGGGGGAAGGGGACGTGAGGGTGGGAAGGGTGCTTAGACAGAGGTCAACACCCCCATCTTGCCCATGATCCCTCCTGGGTAGGATCCATCTCCTATTTCATCACTTGGATGAAGCCAAGAGTGCTTTTGCATGTGTCTGTGTGTCAACAGGGGACATAAGAAGATGGAACTTTTTTTTTTTTTTTTTTCTCAGCATTAGAACCACCCCAGAGCTGCAAAGGGCTGTATATGGAGGTGAGCATCCTTTCCCTCCATTTTCCAGGTGGGGAAACTGAGGCACAGCACTAAGCCAGCACTTCCAAGTGCTGCTTAATGGGTGAAAGGTAGCCTTCCCTGAATCCCACTGGCCACAGGACACAGACCCACAGCTAACTGTGGACGATTTCCAGGGCTGGAAGCTGGAAATTGCAATCAGTTACTGGTGGTGGTAGGATGTGGCTGGGGGTTGCTCCGGGCAGTGCTGGCTCTCCCCAGAGCAGCTGGCCATGGTGCAACTCGCTCTTGCCAGACTGTTCATTAACCAGGGTCCATTTTTTGCTGTTGTGGGATCAGTGCTGGGGCCACTCTGGGAGCGAAGAGTGCTCCCAAGCCATGGCATTTGCAGATCTGTAATGCCTTGGCCTTTCCTCAGACATTGGTTGCCCAAGGGGTGTGCAGGGTCCTCCCCTTGACCAGTGAGAGAAGGGTTAAGGGGCTCTGCAATCAAGGACAGCTCAGGGGCTGCAGGTGGAGCAGGACTTGGAGGGGTGAGATGGGATGGGGTGGGAGGATATAAGAGGGGTATTTTTGCCAGTCCCTGTGTTTGGGGGAAGCAGGGTGGTTTTGGAGCTCTGCTGTGCAAGTGGGATGAGGTGACAGGAGGACATTAAGTGCCTGAGCCACCTCCTGTTCCCTCTTTCTGCTGAGCATAGAGGCAAGGGGAAATGTTAGACCTGCTGTGAAACAGCAGCTGTGATGGGTTGGGATCTGGGAGGAGCCCTGGCCTTTGCTCAGGAGGTGTTTTGGAGGCCCATTTGCAGGCAGTGATTCCAGAAACAGGCAGGGGGTGGTTGGGGCTGGAGGTACCTCTTCGCCTCTCAGTAGCAGAGCTCCTGCTGCGTGTTTCAACCCTGAATGGGCTTTCCTGTTGCAAGGGCTGTTCTCTGCTCCACTGCATCTGCCAGTGACCTTAAAAGCTTCAAAGCTGTCCTGGAGGAGGTGCTGCCCAGCACGGCGCAGGCAGCCCGCTGCTTCCCCAGGTAGGGGCTTGCACAACACCCTGTTTTCCTATGACACTGAAACCTGACGGGTATTCACTCCCCAAAGTGAAGATGCGACAGTCCTAGTGGGGGGCTCAGCCCAAAATGGGCCACTTCCCATTGCTGGGAGCCCTCCGGGGTGGAGTAGGGAGCTGGAGCTGGACCTGGCTGCCACCACTCATCAGGAGCCACTCTCGCTTTCCACAGGTGAAGCTGTCCAGGTCCCTAGTGGGTGGTGACATAAAAATTCAGGCATAGGAGTAAAACAGGAGCCTTCCAGTAACAGACCTACCCTGAAAGGCATCTCTCTGAAAAGCCTCATGTAGGCAAGAATTTTGAAAACACCCTCGAGACTTGGCATTGGGAAATCACAGCTCCAGCTGAGAAATTGCATGAGGGTAGAAAAAAAACAGGCAGAAGGGTTGGAGGGGTCAAGCCCTTGGGTGCGGAGGCACGATGGCTGCCGTCTCCAACATCACGTCAGAGCTGTTCCCTTCTCCCACCTTCCCTTGGGCAGCTGGAGGCTGAGCCAGCCCCAGGCTGGGTCCTGGACCTCCCCACTTGTGCCTCTGATGGATGCTGCTCCCCTGACTTTTGCAGGTGCCAAACATCACGCGGGTTTGGAAAAAACAAGCTCCCCGGAGTTCCGGAGTTCTGCTTCACTCAGCAGGGTTTAAGGAGGATTAGTCATTGCGTGTTCCTGCCGCATCAGCACTTGGGCTGGGGGCTGGGGGTGTGGCGAGAGGAGAGGAGCACATTAATTTTTACCTCTCAGTTGCAAAAGGAGTTAGAAATGGCATCCTCATAATGAGTAACAGTGAGAGTTTATTCCCTGCCCTGTGCACACCCCGGGTATGTGACGAATGCCCAAGCTGTTCCCGCAGCAGTGCCTGGGTGTGGGTTTGGAGTGGAGGTGTGCTGGGGGCTCCGTGGGTCCCTTTCCCTGTGGATCCCTCCCACGGTCATAGTTCCAAGCAAGCAGAGGGATGGGGCTTTACCGCTGCATGTTCTGGGCTAGCTCAGGAACCTTGATGCTTGCTCTTATCCCAGCCAGTGCCCCTTCAGAGTTCACTTTCCTGGGGAAAACCTCTTTCTCAAGAGCCACTGCATTACCTGCCCAGTGGGACCTCACCTCTGCATAGCCTGTGATGTTGTCCTGCCTCAGTTTCCCTTGTCTGTCAAGCACGGCCCAAGGCTGGCTGTGTGAAGCAGGCTGCTTTCCCACAAGCTGTGCAGCTGGCTCATGGCTGCTTCTTGGCGTGATCCTAAAAAGAACAAAAGAGAGTGAGCATAAATGAAATTTATTGTTGGAAAATCTTAATTAGATTTTAAGCCCCAAAGGGAGAAAAGTGAGGTATTATCTGACACAGCTAATGAGTGTTAAGGGTCCATTGTTATATTTCTTGTTTACCTTTCTGTGCTGGCTGATACGGCCCGGATCCTTGCCTGTACTGCCATAATTAGGATATCTCATCTCTTGCTGATAGGGTCGGGGATGCTCTTTAAAGCACAATGCTGTCTCATCCCTCCCTGGCAGGATGAGCGTGATCAGGAAGGCAACTTCTGCTGTCCCAGCACTCTCAACCGCTGCGTTGACCCTGTGAGCTGAGGCGTGCCCTCCGGAGCCAGGGCTGTACCTGATATCCCTCAGGTGATGGACACCTGTAACAGCCTTGGTGACCTCTCTGAAGGGCCCTGAGCCAACTTGTCTGGGGGCCAAATCCTTCCCAGCACCTTTCTCAAGGCAGCAGGGGAGGTGGCCGTGTCCTCCACAAGTCACCCCACGCCCACCGATGAAGGGGAAGGACATCAGTGGGTACCCCATCCTACCTCTCACTCAGTAATGCCAGTGTCTCTGAAACTTGGGCTTCAGGAAGATGTTCAGGGTTGGGACCTGCTGTGGACAGGATAGTCTCCTTTTGGGTAGAAGATATTCAGGATGTTGTTTTCGCATTACCACTTTGTTACAAGATGTACCACAGCTTTCCTTTGTGGCCTAGGAGGGTACAGCTCATCTCTTGGACCCACAGATAACAGGGAATTTGTTGAAAGCTACCTTTACTCTGATGCTTCTCTGATCTCTCCTGAGGCTCTTTAGCTGTGGAGGCTTAAGGTGTTTCTGTTCCAGCTGTGACCACAACCCTGGAGCAGCATAGGCAGGTGGACACCTACCATATGATTTATTCCAACGTAGTTTAATTAAAGACTTGTCATGTGCAGGTAAACCGCTGCTGAAAGGACCACCAGCTCTAGCCCTGGCCTCAAGTAATGTAGCCTGGTCTTTATGTCCTGGCATAGGGTGCCTTGACACCCAAGCAATGTAATTTGGACCTCCAGAAGCAAATTGGGAGCCTGTCCTACCATCGTGGTCCTTCGGGCTGTGGAAGGAGCCCAGCCACACAGGTGGAAGCCAGGAGTGCGGTGTGTAGGAGTGGCTGTGTGTGGGCAAGGGGGCTGCAAAGTTTTTGGTCTCGATTCAAGCCACTGAAAGCCAAAAGTAAAATACCATCCATTGTTGGTTTATACAACCATAGTAGCCAAACAAACATCCCCGGAGCCTGTCCTTATCACTTTATTACACCTGCTAGAGTGAATAGATTAAAGAGGATGGGAGAGGGGGGAGAAAGCAGAAGAATCCAGCAGAAAAACTGGGGTTTGGGATTGTTAATTATTCTCTGGGGTCTCTAATCTTTAACTGGCAAACAGCATCACTAACTGTCTTAAAGCCCCTCCTGGAACATCCTGATAATAAGCCATCTGCATGAAGGCACCCTGTTATCTGCCCTCCTCCAGCCGCCTGTGACATGGCTGGAGTGGGAGATAATGAATGTGTGGTGTGTAATAACGACACGTCATTCATGATTATCGGCCTGATACCCAACCTTTTAGCTCCATTGTTTGTGCTTCAAAAAAGAAGAAAAAAAAATTAAAAAGGAGGAGGGAAAGAAGAAAAAGGGGAAATTTTGGTGCTACGGTCTGTCCCGGGGTCCCCGAAGTGTCTCCCTGCCAAAGGGGCTGGCTCTCATAGCATCTCCCAGAGGGTTTGGTGGTACCCTGGAAGGACTCGTCTGTGGATTGGTGGCTGCTGTAGTCATGGTGATGGAGGGAGAGCCGAGACAGCGCAAAAATGTCACTGCCTGGCAGGGAGACATTTGGGGCAAATGCTGAGGCGATTAGATCTGTGTCACTGGGTGCTGCCCAGCTCCCCGTGCTGCTGCTTTTTGCTGCTCTCAAAGCCATTTAGAGGTGGCTTGGCAGAGGAGGTTATCTTGTACATGCTGCTGTCCAGAAACTGCCAGTGTTTGAAGGTGAGGGGGATGTTTGAGTTGCCTGGTTTCACCTGGATAAGCTGAAAAATGGAAGAATTTTCTCTTGGTTGCTGCTGCATTATGGCTCCATAATGGATTGGTGCTGTGAAATCCTCCCCCCAAAGATTTGGTCCTTCAAACTACAAACTAGGGTTAAATGTAATTCTTAATGGGGAGAGATTTTAAAGTGTTTGTCTCAGGTTACCTCAATTATTGTCAGAACTGCCTGGAATAATGATCCTTTTTTTTTTTTTTTTTTTTTTTTTTTTTTTGCATAACAGATGGAAGTAATTTCTCCTCTTTCCTGAGCAGATTTCCCAGAGCGGTTTCCCCGGGGAAGGTCTCTGCTGGAAGTGGTTGGGGTTTGGCAGTTTGTAACAGCCAGCAGGACCCTTGGAAACCAAACGAGCAGCCTCCATCATGGCAGTAAGTAGGCTGATGGTCTCAAAACATAGGGCTGGGCGGCCAAGCAGGGCATGGTGTGGAGGCAGGGATGGGCTGCAGCTGTGGGTCCTCATCAGATCTAACTTTTCCTGCTCTGGCCTTATCCCCCCATGCCCAAACCAGAAGATGCTGTAGGGACGTCTTCAGGTGCCACCTAGTTTTCTTTGCAACCCACCACCAAGGAGACTGGGCTGGGTCTTTGTGGTCAAGCATTCCCCAGTCTCATTGCTTGGATCACAAGCCAGAAAGTGGATGAGCAGAGCTACGAAGCGGCTTTCTTGTTCCTGGATGGGTGGCTGAAGTGTCTGACAAACAGGGCCAGTTGTGAAAAGCTGTATCAAACTGCTGCCCTCCAATGGCCTCACTGTGCTGGAGCTGGCAGGAGAGCTGGAATCTGACCTCTGAGACCAACCTGAGTCCACGGGCAGTGCAAGGGTGGTGGCATCAGCACCTACACAACCCGCACCCAACCTCTTCCTGGGGGTGAGAACGGAACGGTCGGGAGAAGAGGAACTCAGACTCCAGCTGCCTTGTAAAATAAATAAAATCTGTACCTTGCTGGTTATTCACAGCACCCCTACCCTGCTAGGTACTGAGACAGCCAAAACAAAGGTCTGGATCCAACCCTAGAGGAACATTGTTTCTCAAACTGAGGACGCAGCAGGCGGCTGAGATGGAGAACAGGGGGCTGCAGGGGTTTGTTCAGATGAGAAGATGCTCAGATTTGGCTGTCCTGGTCTGGCCATCACCAGAGGTGAGCTTCCCAGACAGATGGACATGGTTTGTCTATGTTAGTGCCTGCAATGATACTGATGATGCTATTGCCATGGGTGAAAGCCGGACAAACAGATTTGTCTTTCACCATGGCATGGCACAGCACATGGGCAGCCCTCCGTGCCTCAGTTTCCCCTGATGCCTGCTGAGTGCCAGGCACTTGCAGTGACAAGCTTTCCCTGTGTTGTGGGTAATGCCACCATCATACTGGGGACTGTGACAGAGCAATGCCTGCTCTGCTGCCCTGCGTGGGTGGGGATGGGGATGTCCCAAGGGATCGGGCCCACCTGCTGCCCTGCTGGGCCTGGCAGTGCTCCCTGCCAAGCCCAGGGGGGGTTTGCCGGGGCCCGGGGAGGACTTTGGGTTTTTCTGGGTCTCCCACTGCCACCTAGTGATCCGTTTTCCACCCTGGACCTGCAGCTCACCCAGACAGTTCCCCTTGGCCTGGGACCCCACCTCTGGCTGGTGCTGGGATGAGGGCCTGCGGTGGGTCCCTACACCCCCAAACAAGCCCGGCCCCAGGGTGAGCGCCCACCTGCACCCCTCGCTCAGCTCACTCATGTACTGACAGTCAGTTCTCAGCCTCTGCAGAAACAGGCTTGAGATGGACTCGTGCTCCCTCTTGGGACTTCAGTTTTTTGCAAGCTGATTTTGTTCTTACCACCAGCATTTACGGGGCAGGGGGGTGTGTGTTGGCAGTGATTTTTGTTTTGCTTAGTTTGACCTCAGAGTGTTTCAGTTGTTTCCTTACCACAGAAACTCCCGGAGGCAGAGGTGAGGTCTTGGTGACCCACAGTGTGGGAGGGGTGGAAACAGGCTCCTCAGCCTCAACAGGGGACAAACGCACTGAAACAGCCCTTGCAGCTTGAGAAAACACTTGCAGGGCTGCAGCCCTGGGCACAGACTTGTCTCTGGGCTGCTGGGACTCATCCTGCACCCACTTTCTCCCCGCCCCCCCAAATACAAAGGAAGCCAAAGCCACGCTTGGGGAGCATCTCCACAAGGCTTTATTCTCATTTCAGAGAAGACAACAAGGCTGATTGCATGTTGTTTTCAGCATGGTGGGTGCTTGTTCCAGGTTAGCTGGTGACACGTCTTTGCACTGGCTCCTGAGCAGCCTCAACTCAAGGAAGTTCAGCGCCAGGGCAGAAAAACCTGCTGGCTTTTGTCTCTATAACAGCAGGCACAGCGTCAGCCCCAGAATGGATTAGGGGGAATAGTTTGGAGGGTGGTGCGTGGGGATGCAGTGTGGCTGCAGGGAGGAGCTCTCCTGCACCAGCACACCCAGGCTGGAGGCAGGGGAGGGACATGGTGCTTGGGCAGTGTCCGGGCTTTAGACACCCGTGCAAACCATGCCAGTGTTATTCACTGCCATGGCCGAGCAGGGGACTGGCAACGTTGCAGATACACAAGCAGGTGACAGTTCTGCCAGGCAGTGTGCAAGGGCAGGTTGGAGGTGAGGAGATGAGTAGGACATGGAGGATGCCCGTGGAGGTGAAGGCTGAGCCACAGCTGTGCTGCAAAATCTTCTTGGCAGTGCTGTTCCCTGTGCAAGGATGGGACCTGGACCTGCTGGGTTCAGCGTGTGTGTAAGGGGGCTCAGTGTGCCTCCCTGGACAGCAGCAGGGAAGGAGGTTAATGTGGGAGAGGACCAAGGTAGCCAGGGTGGGGCTGTTTGTTGTCCCCTTCTTAAACTTCTGGGTGGAGGGTGGTCCTTGGGAAAGCACTTGCCCCTCACCATGGTACCCCACAGGATCAGTGAATCTTCTTCAAATGCAGGTGGATCCCATTGCTGGACCTGAGGATGAGCTGTGGCATCAGTCTGGGAGGCCTGGATGGGTCAGGGCAGAGCTTGAAACGAAGCAAGGTGAGAGCCAGTGCCACCTTCATCTCATTCATGGCAAACTGCTGCCCGATGCAGTTCCTGAGGAGAGGATGACAAATGCTTCCACTGTAGCCTTCATCCCTGACTGCCCTAGAGCTGGGCTCAGCCCATGTGCAAGCTTCTCAAAGAAACACCTTTGGGGTGCTAGGGGACCTCCACCTGCTGCAAGGATGAAGCCACAGCTTATCTAGGAATCCCCTCATGACACACCAAAATGCATCCAGCTCTGCAGTGGGGTATTGCTGTTGTTTGTTAGTCAGTATTGAAAAAAAGCATATGAAATTGAGAGAACTGGGGATTTCTTCACTAGAGAGTGCTGTATGGATCCAGCTCAAAACCCAGACTCCTCAGGTTATTTTTGAGGCTGTGTGGGGTATCTCCTCTTGCAAGTTACTGGGACCTCAGTATCTTGCATCTGTCTATCAATACAGCATGGGAACCACAGGGACTTGGGCCCAGCTTGGCTTTGAAGTGCACTGGATATTTACCCCTGAACAAGGGAGATCATGTTCCCAGTGCAGGCAACAGAAAATGTAAATATCTCCATAAATCCACAATAAAATTGTGTGAAAGTCTACAGTGACCACATAGCTTGGAGTGTGGGAAATGTTCTAGAACATTCAGCATGGTGGAGATCCTGTTACAGAAAGCCTGCTTGAGCTGGCCAAACCAACTTGGCTTATGGGTGCTGAGAGAGGATTAGCTTCAGGAGCTTGGCTCTGAGCTAGGTCTCCCATGCAAGGCAGCCTATGGGGAAAGAGAGAGATGAAGGATCTCCCACCTGGATCCAGCAGAGAAAGGCAGGAAAGCATGGGAGTGCCTCTGTGCTGAGTTCTCTGGAGAAAACCTTAGGGGATCATATACCTGTAGGAGCAACAAAAGCTGTCTGGTCAGTGTTGGTTCTGACATGACCAACACCAGCTTCTCTCCCAGTTCCCAAGGTAGGGCTGGATGTGGCCTCTGCTGCCCCAGAGGAGCTGCAGCTGACATTCATCCCTCTCCAAAGCCAGGAAGGTGGATGAAAAGAAGGCACTAATGGCTACGTGGATCTTCCCCTTGGAGATATCCAGATCATCCACTACAATACCCAAGATGCCTGCAGGCATTTTCTCATCCATGGCAGCAATGATCAAGTTAGGCTCCCTCCTGTCCAGAGATGCCTGATCCTGTCTTGCCAAAGAGCTACTGCAGAGAGGCAGCTCCAGACCCTCCTCCAGGTTTCCTGACTATTTCTTTCCTTGAAGCATCTAAAACATCAGCTTTGAATCGCTTTTTGTCATGTTCAAAGCCCTTGGGGTGTTTGATAATTTCATTGAACTCTGCATTTGGACTGTTGGAATAAGAAGGGGAAAAAACCAAGCCATGGTAGAGAGGCACAGGCTGTCTTGTTCAAGGGGAGTGGATATCTGGGCTCAGAGGTCATCTTCCCCTTCTTGTTATAAAGGTAAAATACCTCGGGGTCTTGCCACACATCCCGGTTCCTGTGAATAGCAAATATGCTCAGTCCAACCTGGCAGCCTGGAAAAGTAAGAAAAAGCTGGTGACATCTCAGAGTGAAGATCCAGGAGAGGTGTTAGTGGGATGCTCTCCCTCCCTGGGCTCTGCAGGGGCTGTTGCAGGAGATCTGGCAGGGACAGTGCCCAGCCTGTCCAGGCAGGTCACCTCCTGAAACCCTCACATGGAAGAAACAACAGCCTCAGAGTTGGGCCCCATTTTGATACCAGGGAATGAACATTCAGTCTTGGTCAGGATCAACACTCTGCAAGTCAGCTTTGAGCTCTATGAACACCCCAGTGCCCTGGAGCACGTCCTTGGACTCTCTCCAGTCACCCTTCTTGAAGAACTGTGATGGTGAGCTGTGGTAGCCCTGTACAGCCCTTTGGAGAGAGAAGGGAGGCTGGAAGCCCCACCAGCTCCTCCACATAACATCTCTAGTAAGGATGTCCTACTTGCCATGGACGGCAGTGTGAAGGATGAACAAACTCAACAGACCTGCTGGCAAGCTGCGTCCATCAGAAAATGTGACAGCTTTAGAGAGGTATCGGGACACGGAAGGAACCGGTGGGAACAGACGCAAGCTCTCTTTGATGCACATTGTGGTGTAAGTCATCTTCCCAAGGTCCTCCCTAAAAGCAAAGCAGAGGGTCAGGCTGTTTTTGAGTGGCAACAATGAGGACACCAGCAATGGGGACTGAGTAGGCTGAACCACTGTATCTCCCATCTCCTGTTGGGGTTTCTCCTTCTCCTGGTGCCAGAATTGCTACATGAAAAGCAGAATGCCCCAGTGCAGGTGCAGTATAAGGTGGATGAAGTTTCCTTCTCAGAATGAGTGAAAAGAGTTCAAAGTAAAGGAATAAGACATCCTAGCTCACCACTCAATGGTATCTCGGTCTCCCAAGATCCCCTGGATCTCCTCCCTGCACTGTTGCTGGTACTCTGGATATAATGACAGGCAGTACAAGAGCCAGGAGATCCCACTGGCTGTCGTATCGTGGCCCTCAAACATGAACGTGTCCACCTCGGCACGCAGGTCCTCATCAGATAGCCCAACTCCATTTGCATCCTAACAAAGAGGAAAGTGCATCATTCTCAGGTCCACATCAATTGGACTTGCTCCTTTGAGTATAAAAATTACCCTAGATAGTGATGAAGAAGGGCCCAATTTGGTGTCTTTTGTATCTCCCTGTACACCAGGAAGTAAGCCGGTAGAAAATATATCTTATAGATGTGAAAACAGTCAGGCCTGCTGATAGCTGACTCTGCAGTCAACAGAGCTATAGAGTTGGGCTTTGTTGGGATACCAGATCCCAGCCCTTCAGAAGGACACCCTATTTTATCCCTTACCAAGGGTCCCTGTTATGTTTTTCAGTAGTTTGGTTTGGACAACTTTTGTTTCAGATTGAGACAGAAAAGGAAGCAGTGACTCCAGAAAAACAGAGTGAGCACAGCATGGATCTCTTTCCTGAACACCAAATGACAACTTCTGTCCAGAATATCTGAAGGTGTCTGTGATGGTAAAACTACAGAGAGTAAGGAACAAAATCTCTTGAGAGAACTACAGCCACGGTGGCACCCTTGTAACCTTTTCAAAGATGTAATTCTTCTCTGGTTTTTGACAGCTCACTTATTTTAAACTATTAATGTGCTCAATGAAAATGAATGAGGAAGATAAAAGTTTGCTCAATGCTCAGTCACTGCATCTCACACATTTGTATTTTCTTCCCTTTCAATCCACCTTTCCTCGAGCTAGCAAATCTGGAGTGGGGAAGCTGTTGCCAGCAACTCCAGCCAGGGGCAGTGAGCTCCCTGCTGATGCATCCTCAGTGTCATGTGGCTATGTTCTTTGGCATTTCATATAGTTATTTCAGACATTCACCTTGGAACAAAGAAGAATGTCCAGAAAATCCAGATGTTTCTTCTTCTGGATCTTGTCAAGTTCCTTCTCACTGGAGAGCAACATCTTTCTTTCTTTTATTACTTTATCTGCATAGAAGAATGATCAGTTAAGCGCGTCCTGCCCCTCCAGAGACCTCATGTCCTTGTCTGCTCAGTCAGCAGCTTGGACTCTGTTTAATGTGTAACCCTCTGGCCAGTGCATGCTGCAACCCTTCTCTGAGCTGTTCAAGATCCAAGTGGGAGAGAGGTTCAGCTAGGAGACAGGGCTGGGGAAAAAGGGGGAGAAAAATACCTGTGTGGGTATGGGCCATCTTGCAGGCATTCCGAAACTGATGGCCTTTGGGAGTCAAGTCATAGAAGACATCCTTGAAAGAAAAAGTCTGAACTCTGTCACTCACGAGGGAGCTCAGGTCATAAACAGCTCTGATATAATAGTCTGAGTTGCTGTAAGGAGACCAAGGTTGAAGCTGGGGTTAGCAATATGAGCGGGGCAACAGGAGCACTTGCTTTCCCAGAATTCTGAAGTTCAGTCACTGACCTCTGAGTTTGACAGTTGGTATTACAACTGAAGGCGCATTTCATGATGCTGTCTAGTGCCATCAAGCTAACGTCTTGAAAGAGCTCCACTGACTTCTCCTCTGTGTTCTGCTTTTCCCATTTATCCTAGTGGTGCAGACAGGGGTAAAGAGGGACAGACTGACACCCACAATCAGGCCATAATTTCCTGTCCTTCTTCCCAGATCTGCACTGCTAATTGCTCTCTTTTTTGCAAGCAGAGACCCTAGTTCACTATATATTCTGTGAATCTATTCAAACTCTTCTGTGCATTTCTTTTTCCAGGTTTTCTATTACTGGGATAGGAAAGGATATTCTAGCAGTGCTTGATTTTATTGGCAAGCAGATGAAAGAGAGAATAAGTGTAACGTCCAGAGGAAGGTGAGGGGAGAAATTTCAGAACTTCAAAACTACTCCAAAAGTTCAGTGAAACTCGAAGAAACATCTAAGTCCAGTCTCTTTCCCTCAGTCATTCTCAGACTTGATTATTTTCACTGGTGCACAGCTGAAAGGTAAAAGTAGCAGGAGTGATGATTCTTACCAACATCACTTTGACTGAGTCTGACATCAAGGCCACATAAGATTTCAGCACGTCATAATGAAAGGCTGGGGTGAGCAGCTTCCGATGCTGGAACCATTTGGTTCCATCCAAGAGCAACAGTCCCCGCCCTGGAAACACAAAGAGCAAAGGCACAACCAGCTCCTCTGGGCTCCGGTCACAGCTCTGGCAGTTTTACTACTGCTTTTGGCCAAGTGCATGCTAACGTGCAGGGTCTGGGAGGAGGAATAGCTGGTGGTGGAGCCTTTTCTTCAGCCTCTCTGAGGCCATTCACAGCAGCGCTCTTCGGATGGAGGAGAAGCATGCCCACATGTCCTTCACTGCAACCAGCTGTGCACACCTAATCTACCCTGAAACCAAACCCATGATGGCAGAGGCACGGGATTTTCTCTCTCAGATGTGTTTTTCTGCCGTAAATGAAATACTTGGGTGCCTTTTGTAGCACACGCTGACAGCTGTTAACAAGATCTTAAAGCTGTGTGCAAGCCATGAACCCTCCTGTCCTTTGTGTGTGTCATCCCAGTTATTCACAGTCGCATTCAGTCCCTGAGCACACTGAAGGTTGTTTTGTGAAGGTCAGGGTGTGTGATCCAAAGCATCTGATGTGCTCCACAACTAGGTGGGCACCACCAGTACTAATGCTCACACTCAAACAAACCCTCTCATTTGCGAGCTCTCGTTTTAGAATGGAAGAAAGCAAAATACAGGAAGACAAGACAATAGCTGCTGAAATGGGCAATACAGCTGAAAGTGATAAGGGAAGAGAATGACTTACCAATCCAGGGAGCTAAGAATTTGTAAGGTATATTGGGCTTGCCATCTATAAAACAAAATAGATACCAGAACAGTATGAATGGCTAATGAATTCAACATAACAAAAATTAAAAATCATGAAAAATTGACATTAGAGCTTGTCTTTTAAATCACAATATAGAATTAGTCTCATTTCAACATGTAAAATACTCTACTACAGATATGACCTCAATGAACTTGAGAAAGCCAGAGAAAGGTGTAACGAAAAATGCGTGTGGAAAATAAATGGCCATGGCAAATCTCAAAGTTGAGAACTATAGATGGGAGTTACTGGAGATGTCCATGTATGTATCACTCACAGACATCATGCTCCACGGAAAGCAGCAGACGAGAAAAATTAAGATGTCTTCTGAGAGCTATTGCCATGCCAGCTCACCCATATTACCAAGTTTACTGGGAAGCACAGATATTGTGGTGGTAGATGCCATAGAAGCAGTAAGACCAGTGATAATGGAGATAGTGAACTGGGAGGAATAGGCACGTGGTCACTGTTTTGTACAAGAATACAAACTGCTCCATGAAAGCTAGGGAGGCCTAGGAGTATGTGAAGGGGAGCAAAAGAGGAATTGCAATATCTGTGAAGGAAGTTGGCAAAGGGGATGACTCCAGGCAAGTTTCCCATGATTTTCTCCATAGGGAAGTGTCAAGGACATGACTTCCCAAAACCAGATGTAGACACTTACCCGTTTGGCCAAGTACACTTTTGGCATATTCAGGATGGTGGACTATTAGAGAAGGCAGGAGTGGTCCAAACCATCTGGGAAAAGCATAGTGGTATTCTTCTCCCCATGACACTACCTGTCTTAAGATTTTATCGGAAGTTATCTGCAATGACAGTTAAGCAGAGACTGAATTCAGGCAGAAAAAGAGGGATGTGCCAGGGGAAGCAGAGGTTAAACTTGCCCTCTCATGGAGAGCACATGCAATCCTCTCTTGGGAAATGGGGAAAGTGAGTGGGCCTTTTGTGGCTTTGTCTTCTTAAGTAGATGTAGTGGAAGAGACTCTTATTGGTAGCAGGTTTAGTGCAGGAGAGACATTTTATGGTTGCTCATATTTAAATAACTTAATGAAAATCCCAGAAATCACCTAACCCCATGTTGAAGCACATGATCCTAAACAATGTGGCTCTGCTTTTTACCAAAGTGATGCCCATCTCATATCCAGGCACCCTTTCTGCCTGCCCTGCAAAAGTCTTGTCACTCCCTGAGCAAAGAGGTCCTCTCCTCCGGGAAGGAGTGCTAACAGGGGACATGTACAACCCACCTGATGCCCTCTCACATCCTGACTGATGTCTTCCACACTTGTTGGGACAAACCCACCCTGATTAAGTGCAGATCCCTCCTTACCACATGATTGTGGCCATACAGCCAGTGTTTTGGGGGACCAGGGAATGCCTCCAGAGCTTTGATGAGTTTCTTCCTCTCCCGGTAGAACTGGGCCACCTTCAGGAGCATGAAGATGACACCAAGCACCACAGACAGCTGCAGAACGACAGCAGAAGGTCTGGCTATGTTGTCCAGCAGCGACACCATGCTGGCCCTGTGTCCTGATGCTGCCTTCTGCTGCCTGCTCCTCTTCTGCTCCTCCTGTGCCTGCGCCTGATGGGGAGCTAGGTGCAGGTAAAAATCCTCTCCCTCTTGCTCTGCTGGAGCTGAGCCTGGTGAGGCATTGCTGGCAGCAATTTATAGCAGCAGGAACATCACGGTAAGAGCTGAGTCAGCTTGGTCAGCAGCCCGATTGCCTGCTGCTCCTACTCACCCTTTGACCTGCTTCCAGCAACCTGTGGACAGAGGCGGTTTGTTAACAAACAACCTCTACATATTTGCTAGTTTCTTTGAAGTTCTGTAAACCCCAGCAGTAAGTGAAAGCACTCAGAGTCATCCATGCCTAGGTGGATGAAGCCACAGGACGGGGAAGGTAAGAGGCAGCCAGGCTTAGGCTCCAGCTGAGCTCCGTGCTGTCCTCAGCCAAATTCAGGTATGGAAGCTGTTCATCTGCCTGTATGAAGTGAGGAACAAATGGGCCATGTCTGCCCAACACACGGGCTGGGCAGATCCAGCTGCCTCCAGCTGTAAAACAGTGCTCTGAGTGACTGCAACATCACACAGCACCACTGGACTATAATCAAAAGAATGGACATAACCTGATCAGCACAGAAGGGGCCATGGCCCTGTTCTCCAGGAGGTCCTACCATAGACAAGTCAGGAGACAAAACTGCTGCCCAGAAGAATTACCATGGTCAATAGATAAGACAAGGAGAGGGAGAGCAGCAGAGCAGCAAAATGAACTGCAGTGAGATTGAGGACATGTCTACCCTGAAAGGGAGGAGTGATGGTAAGGTTGTGTTCCCTCTACAGTCCTGGTGCATCCTTCCTCCCCCATCTACATGACATCCCACCATCCTCCAAAAAAGGCTTCACATCACCACATTTACCTCTCCAATGCAGTGCTTGGTTGGGCCCCATTTAAGAGCCCTTCTAGCAATCCCTGAGCAGATCCTGCTGGTTACTTGGGCTCACATCCCATAGGCACAGAAGCCTGGAATGGCTTGGAGGGAATTATGGAGTTGGTGGAGGACTTGAGCAGGAAGCCTGCCATATGTGGGTGACTTCCAGGCATACTGCAAAGAGGAGGATCCCCGGATAGGCTGAAATCACTTCCCATTTGGATGTTGGGATATTATGAGGATCAAATGAGTCATCAGCTGCTGAACCTTGCAGTCTGATGGACTACTACATAGGGGCTGCTGAATTTTGTGGGTGTTTCTCTTCAACTTAGCTTCTGATGTTAGCAGGGTCTTCTGATGTTCTGACACTTTCCTTTAGTTTTTAGTCCAAATTATGCCATGTCCAATTAAAACTCATGTTTTCTGCTAATAGAGTAATTTTACTGAAAAATCTACTGTTTATCTGGTATTCATTGTCCAGATATATACTTTTTATAGCAACAAAGACATGGAGATTTTTGGCTGAAATGAATCTCCACAGCCCCAGTGAAAGTATTTAAACTTTTTAGACAGAAAAAATATATTAAAAAGTCTTACAGGACCCACTGTCTGGGAATTACCTGACTCCACAAAAATATTTGAAAGTTAGTGAAGTGAGTAACCTTTCCCTCATCTGGCTTGTGGCCTATTTGTTAATTAATGATCACGAAGATGAAGCCCTAGGTACAGACAGTACCGTTTATATTTCAGCCTCAGGGAGATGTGAAGTGTCTGGCTGCTATGAACCCGTGTGAGGGATTGTTGATATATTGCTCGTCTGTTGTGATATGCTGCTCATTGCAAATAGGCTGAAGGTCAAGGCATGTGCCAGTTTGGGTGCAGCATAGGAAGGTGCTCAGCTGTGAAAGCTGGACTCAACCTGTGCTCTTTGAGAGAAAAATCAACAGAACTTCAGCAATGCTTAGGTGTAGTGCACAGCACTCCTCAGGAAGAAGCATTGTTAAATCAACTCCCTTTTCACCTGAAATTTTCACATGCAACTGCTTTGAGCTTTCAAACCCTCTTGGGAACTCACAGTATAAAGAGCCATATCTGAGGGTATTTGGGGCAGCATTACTTTGCATCTGTTTAGATTCCTTTGCTGAAATACACAACCTAATTCAATGAGGCTTTTTTTCTCTTCATGTGTGGGTAAACTAGGGCACAGAGCAAGAAGACTTAGCCTGACTCTCTTTCCAACACAGGCACTACAATATTCCTTGTGGGTCCTTTCAAGGGAGAGGATTTGTTCTCACTGCCATGAGCTAGAAGATAGTGAGTGCCATTCAAAGACTGAACCTCTCAGCTTCACTGTTCACAGAGGGACCCTGCGAGTTCAGCTGGCTCCAACTTCCTATCCCTTGGAGGGATGTTTGTGCAGCCTACTGTTTCTGTCTCCTCTTGGAAGTTCAGCTGTGGATTTTCAGAGTGAACAATCAATCAATACCTGCTGATGTTAGCTAGTGTGATACACAGTCTCTGTCATGTGCATCATCACCTAGTTCTCAGATGGTGATATTTTGCAAATGTTTGTTCATGATGTATCGGAAGCAGTAGTTTCTAACAGTGGCCTCCAGTCCCAGCAGTGATGTTTCAGGAGCTCCTCACACACTTTTGGGTTTGCATCCTGAGGCTGGAAGCCTGGACATTTCCACATAAGATGGGACAAGAACGTTGACATTGAGACACCTGCCATCATGAGTACCCAGAGTGCAAAAGGCACTGGGCATGTCAGCTGGCTAACAGCCAGCTCCTACCATGTGTGTCCAGATGCCTGATAAAGTTTGGGCTGAAGATGGGGTCTGTCCATTGCTTCGGCATGCTGGTAGTAGAAGACTGCTCTAGAAACACGCTTTCTCTTGAAAGACATCAACTGTGATCTACTCTTAATCTGTTCCTGGGCTGCAAATACCCTTTTTCTAGTCTGCCAACGTTGTCTATAACACTAAGTTTCTTCAGCATTTCTCCAATTATAATAGTTGCATAAGTTCTTCAGCTGGAATGAGGTGACCCAGTCAACACTACGGCTGTCAGCATGGCACTGGGCTTTCGTTAGCACAGCAGGAAGATGCATTGGAAAGAACCAATGACAACAGCTGAAAATCTCCCCTGTCTCTCCAGACCTAGGTGCTTGGCTGCTTGAGCCTTGTTCTAGCACATTTCTTCATCTCCTCAATGTTACTGTTCCCTGAACTGGACCGCTGTAACTTACATTTAAATGGTGTCCCTGGTTCTTCAGACTGGGAAGAAGAGGAAGGAGTTATATTCTCTGGCTGGCATTTGTCATCCTGCTTTCTCCCCACCAGTTGCTGACATTCTGAGTCCTTTGGGCCAAAGACTAGTAAGCCATTACAGCCACACCACTCAAAAATTTTGAAGTTTAAAGAACACACCAACCTTCCTTGTGTTGTCTCGGAGAACATAGCTGTCAGGCACTGAACAGTGTTAGCTTTTCACACACTTGGCCGTGTCCATGAAACTAAGTCTATCTCATTATGCAGAGCCAACTGGATCTGTGCAAAAGTTCAGAGGAGAGTTAAAGGTTGTTCTTTAGGATGCAGAAAGCTGCAGTCTGTCAGCTTAGGCATTTCTTAGAGAGGGCTTTGGCTGTAGCTAGAGCAAGAGGGACCCTATTTGCCATACAATTTCACATTCCTGAGCAAGAGCACATGACTCCAGGGACCTCATGGCCATAGAAGGCGTAGGAGACACATCTAGCTCTTCCTATGATCCTCCACTTGTCTTGCAGCACTGTGATTAATGGGCTTCCCATCAGGAGAGGAAGCAGTGCAGGCTGGTTAGCTGGCTGGCCAGTTGGCTGGTGGGCGAGCTGACTGGGAAGTATCTGTATTGCAATTGGTCAGGAGGCTCCTGCCGATGCTTCTTGTCTACCTGAGGAGGAAGAGAAGGATTAACATACAGCATAAGGAGCCACTTTTGGGCCTTCTGAGCCAGATTTACAGCTCTGCAAGCTGCCTTCAAAATGTGAAGCTGACCTAAATAGAGTGGGCAGGTGAAGGGTGTGAGGAGAGCAATGTTATCATGTACTTGTTATCAAATGAGGTCACTGAGAGAGTTTGGACAGGTCTGCCATGATGCCTGGGATTAACCCTGAAGTTAGGTTTAAGTGGTATATGCTACAAGAGACCCCATTCCCCATCTCCAATGCATCATGGACTCTGTCCCGAAGCTGTCCTTCCTTCAGGCTTTTTTTTCATTTCAACCAGCTCTAAAATGGCCTTTAGGCTCTTCCAGGGACCTCTCTCTAGAAAACAGTCCATAAACAACTAGCTTCTTGTCTGGCCTTGCCCATGACTGTGGAGGGAGGAGAAGGGTAACTTCATGGGGCTGAGGAAAATGGAAGGTGGGATTGTTACTGTGGATCTCTCATGTGAAGACCTGAAGCACACCCGTAAATCCAGAAATGTTGTGTAGTTGGTTGATTTATAAGGTCCACATAAGGGAAACAGGGAGAGTTGGGGGTTGAGCCTTTGGTCAGCATCAGTGGAGCTGTTTTGGGGTGTCCTGTGGCATCTACCCACTTACCAGACAGTCTGATCTGGATCTAGCCAGCATCTTTCAGCAATCATCAGAATCACTCAGAAATCCCCCCAAGATCCACAGATCCACAGGTGGAGGGGCCAGGTCAGTGGAGTTGCTGTCATGGCCTCAGATGAAATTTATACCAACACAGGAATTCTCACTAGTGACAAAGTCCCTGGATAATGGGTTTGACCATGGGGTTACAGAACAAGGTGGATTTTTACCCATCTGACTCCCTGATAGATATTTAATAACCAGTGACAACTGTTGACTGTGGAACCAAGGAGATATGAGTTGCCTTGAAGGCCAAGTGACATGTCAAGCATTGAGCTGATAGGGAGGGAACATAGGGGACAAAGTGGCTAAATCCACATTTATGGGGATTTGGGTCAAGAATTTGAACTTGAGTGGTAGAAAAACTGGGTGCCTAATCCAGCCTCTAGCCTCTGCATTTTCTGTTTCATTGGTGGAGGGGAGAGAAATGCCTTTCTCACGTAATTTCAGAGATTTCATGGCAAGAAGGGCCATGAACATCTGGTCTGACACTCTTTAGAACAGCCTGGGGAAGATAATTCAGGGGTTTTTGCAGGGGAAGAAACCATGGAAATTCAAAAGGGAAAGTGAAGTGGCCACAGAGCTGCAAGTGGAGAAAAGTGAAAGGGGACAGCACTGGTCTGGTCATTGTAAGGGA